AAAAAGAAGAAAGTGAAAAAACATGCTTTGATCTGCATTCACAATCCATCAGTTCTTTATCATTTTCCTTTGGGTCCTTTGTACTTGTCTTGAATCATTGTGCTGCTGAGAAGAACTGAGTCACTTATAGTTGATCTTCACACAACGCTGCTGCTAGCGTATGACTTTTCCTGGTTCTACTCATTTCACTTTGCACCAGTTCATACAAGTCTTTTTCTGAAATCTGCCTATTCATCATTTCTTATTGCATAATAGTATCCATTACATTCATATACCACACTTTGTTCAGCCATTCCCCAATTGATGGGCATTCCTTCAATTTCTAATATTTTGCCACCATGAAAAGAGATGCTATATCTTGTTAGCTTAGCTCTTCTCAGCAATGCAAGAATCTAAGATAACTCAAAAAGACTCACGATGCAAAATGCTATCCAACTCCAGAGAAAGAACTTTGGAGTCTGATGCAGATAGAAGCATACTATTTGCTCTGCTTTTGTTTTGTTTTGTTTCTTCTTTCTCGTGGTTCTTCCCATTAGTTCTAATTCTTCTTTACATCATGACTAATGTGAAAAATATGTTTAATATGAGTGTATAAGTAGAGCCTATATAAGTGTATAAGTAGAGCCTATATAAGTTCACATGCCGTCTTGGGAAGTGGGGAGGAGAGGGTGGGGGAAAAAATTCAAAACTCAAATCTTATGGAAATGAATGTTGAAAACCAAAAATTAATTAATTAATTTTTAAAAAGGGATGCTATAAATATTTTTGCATATGTAGGTCCTTTCCCCTTTTCTAACGATCTCTTTGGAATACAGACATAGTGGTATTGCTGGATCAAAGGGTATGCACAGTTTGGTTGCCCTTTGCGCATAGTTCCAAATTGTTTTCCAGAATGGTTGCATCAGTTCACAACTCCACCAACAGTGCATTAGCGACCCAATTTTCCCATATCCTCTCCAACATTTATCATTTTCCTTTTTTGTCATATCAGCCAATCTGATAGGTTTGAAATGGTACCTCAGATTCATTTTAATTTTCATTTCCCTAATCAAAAGTGACTTAAAGCACTTCTAGAAGGCAGAACTTTAGTTGAGATTTAAAGGAAGCCAGGGAGGTCAGTAATTGGAGTGGAGGAAGGAGAGCACTGAAGGCATGGAAGAAAGCTAATAAAAATGTCCAGAGTCTGGAGACAGAGTGTCTTATTGGAAAAATAGCTAGGAGGTTGGTGTCACAGGATTAATGATTATTTGTGGGGGGGTGTAGGGTTTAAGAAGACTGGAAAGGGAGCCATGGCTTTGAATGCCAAATAAAAGATTTTATATTTGAGCCTGAAGGTGTAAGACACCTGAAGTTTACTGAGTAGAGAAGTGACATGGCAAAGATTTGTAATTTAGGAAGATCACTTTTACTGCTCAGTGGAGGATGGACTGGAGTGGAGAGAGACTTGCGGCAGGGAGACCAGCCAGCAGGCTACTTCAAAAATCCAGGTGGTGAGGCTGAGGGCCCATACCAGGGTGGTAGAAGTGTCAGAGGAAAGAAGGGGATGTATACGAGACATATTGTGACGGTAGAAGTAACAGGACTTGGCAACTAATAGGCTATGGGGAGTGAAAGAAAGTAAGGAGTTGAGGATGATACCTAATTTGGGGGTCATGATGAGTGGGAGGATGGTGGTTCCCCTGACGGGAAAGTTTGGAAGAGCAGAGGATTAGAGGAAAAAGATATTTCAGAAGTTGTAACAATAAGAGTACTCAAACCTAATCATGTATCTAGCCCCACCCATGAAGAAACAGATACCTGTCCAAAGGCTCTTCTACATATGACCCTAAAGATGAATCTGGGATCAGGGAGCAGGCCCAGCTCTTTCTATCTCACAGCCAAAAGGAAGCACAAGTTCAAGCATCCTGCTAGAAGAGAGGCCAGAATACAGAACATGCTAATTGAGCTGGGAGGATCCCAATGTACTTTGTACTTTCTTTTTCTTTTTTTTCTTTTTGGCAGTTAGGGTTAAGTGACTCACTCAGGGTCACACAGCTAATAAGTGTCAAGTGTTTGCCCTGAGGCCAGATCTGAACTCAGGTCCTCCTGACTTCAGGGCCAGTGCTCTATCCACTGAGCCACCTAGCTTCCCCCCTCTACTTTGTACTTTCAAAGACTATATAAAGCAATTTGGAACAATTTCTGCTGGAGCACAGGATCCTGGATTTGTACTTTTAAAATCATACTTAATTTCTTAATGCTGATGGGAAGTCTGTACAGACCTAAACTCTTAGGTGACTTTATTTTGAAAGATAATTAGGCATTTTTACTGCTAATAACACTGTCTTCTACTACATCTCAAATCAATCAAGCCCTGAGTTGTGAAACATAATACCTTACTACCATCTTCTAATCTTAACCTTGCCCACTGATCTTGGACAATAGATCTAAAAGATGCCACCATCTTTTGAACAAGTACAATGCTGACATCCATCCATGGATTTCCCCTGAGGGTAATGCAGCTCAGCAGGAAGAACATACTTTTGGGGAAAGTCAGGAGACTAAGCTAGCAACTACCCTCTTCACACCTAGCACAGTCTAGAGAAGGCTTTCTTTTTTTGGTCTGTATTCAGAAGAGGATCTGGCTGGCTGGGATGAAGCAGGGTAATAATTAAACCTTGTGAAAACTAAGTCAGTCTCTGAGTACACTGCAAACAGAAAGAAGCAACTACAGTCACCACCAATCTGTTCTTCAAGTATTAGAGAATCTATGAGCAGGATACCTTAACGATATAATTACTTGAAGGAAATAACATTCATCTTTCTCAAGTGTCAGAAACAAGGAGTCCACATGCTTGCAATAAATAACCCTGACATCACCAACACTTAAAACCTCAACATTTAAAACCACATTCTGTCAAGTCCTCGTAGCTTGGTTTTCTTAACTATACTTATGTGTCACAAGGGGGTTTGTTTTTCCTTTTTACCCAGTGTAGAGAATAAAAAGGAGAAAAAGCAAATGCTTCATATTTGAAAAAAATTAATTTTAAAAAATTCTTCATATTCTGCCTTCTAGGATGACCATGTCCATGCCCCATGACTTGCTTTGCCACTACTTCTCATAGGGTACATGAGGGCCACTGGAGATGATGTCTAGGAAATAGCTACCCTTGGGTCCTCAACCAAGCCAGTTTTTCTGTGATTTTGCCCAATTAGTTGTTAAATGCCAAAATAAAAGTCTACTAGATAAAAACAGCCAAAAAAGAGGACCTCAGATGCCCTCAGATAATATGACAGTTTCAACATATGCATCGTCTAATAAATCTGGTCCTACAATTCTAGAATTCTGATTAATTTTTCCAGAAATGTGATTCTCAAACAAATGTAAATGATCCTACAAATCACTAGTCAAGGGATAAAATCAAAAGAACATTTTTTTCTCATTGAAGTACATAGAACAATGAACAGTTATCACGGCTGACTTTATTAGTACTTTACCTTTGGATAAAAGCCTTATCTTCCTGCCATTATAAAGAGCTAAAGCTAAAACTCAGACATTTTAAAGGTCAATTTTCTAAGTGAAGCTGAGTTTTTTAAGACAAGAGCCATAGTATGTAAAATACATCAGAGATGGTTTTCTTTTCCCCTTCCCATATCAAAATCATCTTTGCAACCAAGTTAAAAAACAAAACAAAACTAAAGAGACAGATTCTACCCTAGGAAAAAGCACCACCATAGTAGTAAAGTTGGAATGTCTTTCGTTGAGTATGGTACCACCACAATAGTACCATACATAGCCAGGCTTATTTTGTGTCATTTAAAGCTGCTTACAGGGCTTGGTTCTTATTATGTCAAGTGGTAGGTAAACAGCCACACATGTGAATAAACATCCCCTCTCATGAAATACTAAGTTGAGCTTTCCTTGTAAAACTTTCTTGTAAATCTTTCCTTGTAAAACTCCTGCTAGCATGAGCAAAGGGTCACATAAGTACAAAAGTTGCCCAAGTAAGTTCACAACCAGCGCTTTGAAAGTTGACTGACAAAGAATGAAAAGGAGGTATCTTTGGGTAAGGACCTACTGTCCTCTTGTCCTCAGTTTCCAACAGTGCAAGGCTGAAGAGGATTAAGCCAGAATTTGCTCTCAATACTTAGAAGGCAGCAGCAGTATGGCACAGGCCCTGGAGTCAGGAGATTTCAGTTCAAATCCCAACTCTGTATGACCTTGGGCAAGTTACTTAATTTCCCTGGGTCTCAGTTTGCTTATGTATGAAATGAGAAACAGGACTAGATGGCCTTTGAAGATCCTTCTAGCTCTAGATCTATGACTCTGCGGTACTACATCGTGAATGACTTACTGCTTTCAGAATAGGTACAATAAATGTCTCAATGGGACATTAAAAAGTTCAGGAACCCAAAGTAACCACCTTGGGCCTCACACCCAAGAGTCATCTTAGAAAATTATTAAGGAACAAAGATTTATTCTACCACTTATAGGCCCCTTTAAGAGAAAACATCATCTGAGTTTGCTACAAACGCAACAGAGAATTTATTTCCTAGTGTCAGAATCTAATTGCTAGTACTGGAAAAAGTTGAAAAAGACTAAGAAATCAATTCCCAGGCAAAGCAGCCCAATAGCCAAAGTGATTTAGGGTCCACTGTGCATATATGTATGTGTGTGTGTGTGTGTGTGTGTGTGTGTGTGTGCATGCGCGTGTGTACACATGTGAATGCACATGCACAAATAAAACCTTTCTCTGTGCTTGAGATTATTGCTGCCATCAAGCATGGCCCTAGCACTAAGGAGATCAAAGTAAGGTAAGCACAGAGGCTTGGGAAGTGGCATCTTGACTCAGGACAAGACTGAGGAAAAAAATCAATAGAAGCCACAAGAAGTGAGTGCTTCCTTCTACACAGACACAGGTCATCATGTCACCTGAGAGTTCCCTTCACCCAAGCAGAGCAGAGAAAGGCCTATGAAACTCCAGACAAATGGAATCACTTCCCGGGGGGAGTTCACTTACATCCAGTTTCATCAGGGTGATAAGGTCCTTCTTGGCCGCTTTGAAGATGGCATCTGTCCTCTGGCTAGTGATAGTTCCCTCAGTGTTGTCTTCCGTGTAACGGATTACAGCAGAGGGGATCTCTGCCAATGTTACCGATTTCCTTCCCTTTAGAAGAGCACAGACATTCAATGTCAGCAGAGAAAGCTCAGAGATGAGATGTGAAGAGGATTACCAAAGGTGTGTACTGGCAGAGAGACTCATCAGGTACCAGTGTCTTCACCATAAGATGACTCTGGACTAATGTCTCAGTGTCAGGTCTGAGGATATTGAGAGTCCCAGTCTCGGCAGACGATGGAATGGGTTGATGCCATGTAAGAGAACCCATTTACCTCCTCCCTTCCCTCACTTCTCTACTTGTCTTTTCCTCAATCTATCCCTCCTTCCTCCATTCCCGCCCCACTCCTCAAAGCTATAAAACAAAAAACAGGGCCAAAACCTGTAGCTAATTCAGGGGTCTCAAATACCATTCAGAGGAAACTACCTTACTGGCGATCACGGGAGGTTCATCCGAAAGACTAAGTCTGGCCCTGTCATATACCATCCCCAGGTCAGATTTAGTGTCAGTGGAACAGCCTAGAAATAGAAGGGGAAAGACTCAGAATAAGCACCAGGAACAGTCAGCAGGAATCCTGCATCCTATGCTTTCCCATCAGTGTCTCAAAGAGCTGGCTGCACAATTAGAGGTAACTCAAAGTCACTCTGCCAACACTCTTTTTTACTTTTTTGGACTGGACCTGTGAAACTCCCTTTACCAATGTAGATCAGCACCTGCTTTGCATCTTAAAGTTTTGGAGGGTTATCTGGGGCACTGATAGATTAAGTGACTTGTCCAGGGTCACAATATAAGAATGTATCAGAGTTGGTACTTACACCCAAGTAAGTCAACCTGCTTGAGATTAGCTTTCTCTCCACTATCCCACCATGCCTCATACTACTATTGTGCATCATTAATAACTGACCAACAGCCACTTTAACAGTCACCTACACTGTTTCTAGAATTGAGCCAGGGGATGCTGCCTTATATAAGATTACAGAAGACATGTGCTTTGATCCTGCTCAGCTAACGATATACACTTACTAATACCTGCTGTACGCCCAGCAAAGTATCAGGAGCTGTAGAGGATGCAAAAATTAAAAGACACAGTCTCTGTCCTCTCACTACTTATGGTACATAGAAACTGACACCTATTCTGAACAAGGCATTGTGCTGGGTTCATACCACGGAAGACACAGAGTGACATAAGACTTGGTTCCTGCCCTCAAGTTGCTTACAGATTACTTTCAGAAACAAGACATGCACACATAAAAAGTTAAGTAATGCAAAGCAGTATATGAGAAATGTCTAATAAATATTACAGATAAGTATTCTAAGATTTCAAAGAAGGCAGAGATCACCATGAACTAGAGTAATCAGAGAAAGTTTTATGGAGGTGAGTCTTGAGATAATTTTTGAAGGATGAAGAGAATTTCACCCAAGAAGAGGAAAAGGCATTACTGGCAAAGAAAACTGCATAAGCTAGGGAACAAAAACGGAAATGAACAAGGAGTATTCAAGGGAAAATTAAGAAATCAGCCTGGTTAAAACACAGGCTGAAAAGCAGCTGAGCAACAGAAAGGAAAGTAAATTTAGAAAAGTGGGGAAGGGGGTGAGCCAAGACAGCAGAGTAAAAGCAGGGATTCACCTGAGCTCTCCCAGGCTGGGTTTAGAATGAATCTGCAGCCACTGTTTCAGGAACTCTCAATTGGCAAGGAGATCAGACAACTGATCAAAAGATTACAGGGGACCCTTTGTTGGCACTGGGAGCAAAATATGTTACATTGCCCATACATGCCTCTGGGTTGCAGTCCCAGGGCAAGAAGGAATGCTAGCAGAAGAAGTGACCATTCAGAGTTCTAGGACAGAAAAGGGTGCTTGTGGTCGGTCACTCACAGACCAGAGCACAGGCCAGGAGAGCAGTGACCACCCCTCCCCTTAGGGAATACTACCTTGAAAGAGCTGAGAGCTTACAGACCCTCAGAGCTAGCTCTGAAAACAGCAGCACAAAAAACCTGAAGCTTGGGACAAGTGCCGGCTCCACCCCAGGAGAAAAGCCCAACTTTAACATACAGTTTAAAGTCAAGAAATAAGCTAGGAAAATGAGCAAACAACAAAAAAAGAATCTGACCACAAAAAGTTAATACAGTGACAGGGAAGATCAAAACATAAACTTAGAAGAAGACAAAGAAATCACAGCAGCTACATGCAAAACTTCAAAAAAAAAATGTAAATTGGCTCAGACCCTAGAAGACCACAAAAAGGATTTTAAAAATCAGAGAGGTAGAGGAAAAATTGGGAAAAGAAATGAGAGTGATGCAAGAAAACAATGAAAAGACAGTCAATAGCTTGGTAAGGAGGCACAAAAAAAAAAAACTGAAGAAAAAAATAACACCTTAAGAAAACAAAATAGGCCAAAAGGCAAAGAAAGAAAGAAAACTATTGGCCAATTTCCATAATGAACACTGATGGAAAATTTTTAAATAAAAGACTAGTAAGGAGATTACAGCAATATATCACAAAGATCATATACTATGACCAGGTGAGATATATAACAGAAATGCAAGGCTGGTTCAATATCAGGAAAGTTACCAGTGTAACTGACCATATCAATAACAAAACCAACAGAAATCATATGATTATCTTAACAGATGCAGAAAAAGTTTTCAACAAAATATGACACTCATTTCTATTAAAAACATTAGTGAGCACAGGAATAAATGGAGATTTCCTTAAAATAATAAGTAGTATCTATCTAAAACTATCAGCAAGCATTGTCTGTAATGGGGATAAGCTAGGAGTATTCCTGTTAAGATCAGGAGTGAAGCAAGGATGTCCATTATCACCATTATTATTCAATATTTCTACTAAAAATGCTAGCTATAGCAATAAGAGAAGAAGAAAAAGAAATTGAAAAAATAAGAATAGGTAATGAGGAGACAAAACTACCACTTTGCAGACAATGTGATGGTATACTTGGAGAATTGTAGAGAATCAACTAAAAAACTAATTGAAATAATTAACAACTTTAGCAAAATTGCAGGATACAAAATAAACCCACATAAACTATCAGCATTTCTGTATTCTACCAACAAAGTCCAGCAGCAAGAGATAGGAAGAAAAATTCCATTTAAAATAACTGTAGACAATTTAAAATACTTGAGAGTCTACCTGCCAAGATAAAACTAGGAACTACAAAACACTTTTCACACAAATAAAGTCAGATCTAATCAACTAGAAAAATATCAATTGCTCATGAGTAGGTGGCACTAAATATAATAAAAATGACAATTCTACTTAAATTATTTATTTACTTATCCAGGGCCATACCAAACTACCAAAAATTTATTTTATAGAGCTGTAAAAAAAATAATTACAAAATTCATCTGAAAGAACAAAAGGTCAAGAATATCAAGGGAATTTACTGAAAAAAAATGCAAAGAAAGGTGGCTCAGCCACATCAGATCTCAAACTGTATAACAAAGAGGTAATTATCAGAAAAATCTGGTACTGACTAAGAAATAGAGTGATGGATCAGAGGAGTAAATTAGGTATATAATACACAGTAGCAAATGACCATAGTTATCCGTTTGATAAACCCAAAGGTCCATGCTTTTGGGACAAGAACTCACTGTTTGCCAAAAATTGCTGGGAGAACTAGAAAGCAGTTTGGCAGAGGCTAGGTGTAGACCAACATTTCACACCATATAACAAGATAAGGTCAAAATAAGTATGAGATTTAGAGATAAAGAGTGATATCATTAGAAAATTGGAGGTGCATGGAACAGTTTACCTCTCAGATCTATGATTAAGAGAAGAATTTATGACCAAATGAGACAGAGAAAGTTACAGGACATAAAATGGATAATTTTGATTACATTAAATTAAAAAGATTTTTCACAAACAAAACAAATGTAGCCAAGATTAGAAGGAAAGCAGAATCCTGGGGGAAAACTTACAGCAAGTTTCTCTGATAAAGGTTTCATTTTATAAATGTATAGGGAACTGAACCAAATTTATAAAAAGACATGCTATTCCCCAATTAATAAATGCTCAAATGATATAAATAGGCAGTTTTCAGAAGAAATCAAAGCTATATCTAGTCATATGAAAAAATGCTCTAAATCACTATTGATTAGAGAAATTCAAATTAAAACAACTCTGAGGTACCACATCACCCCATCAGATTGACTAATGTGACAGTAAAGGAAAATGACAAATGTCAGAGGTGATGCAGAAAAACTGGGATACTAATGCACCATTGGTGAAGTTGAGAATTGATCCAGATGTTCTGGAAAGCAATTTGAAATCATGCTTAAAAGGTATTAAAAAAAAAAAAAGAAAAAGGTATTAAAACTGTGCATACCCTTTGACTCAGCAATAGCACTACTAGGTCTATATCCCAAAGATTAAAAAAAAAAAAGGAAAAGGACCTATGTGTACAAGAATATTTATTGCAGCTGTTTGTGTGGTGGTAAACATTTGGAAATTGAAGGGATGCCCATTAACTGGGAAATGGCTGGGCAAGTTGTAGTATACGATTGCGATGGAATACTATTGTGCTATAAGAAATGATAAGCAGGATGCTTTCAGAAAAACCTGGAAAGACTTACACGAACTGATGTAAAGTGAAGTGAGCAGAACCAGGGGAATATCGTATACAGTAACAGCAATATTGTACAATGATCAACTGTGAATGACTTCACTATTCTCAGCAATAGTGATCTAAGACAATTTCAAAGCACTCATCATAAAAAATGTTATCCACCTTCAGAGAAAGAATTGATGGAGCCTGAATGCAGATCATAACATACTTTCTTTCAAACTTTTTTATTTTTCTTGGTTTTTTTGTCTGTGTAATCTTTCACAACACAACTAACGTGGATATATGTTTTTCATGGCTGCACATATATCATCTATATCAAATTGCTTGCTTTCTCAATAACGGAAGGGAAGGAAGGAAGGAAGAAAATTTGGAATTTAAAGTTATAAAAAATGAACGTTAAAATTTTTTACACGTAACTGGAAAAAAATGAAATATTTGAAAAAAATCAAAGGAGAAAAAAGAAAAGTAGGCTAGACCTAGATTCTGATGGACTTTAACTACAAAGCTAAGGAGTTTGAATTTTATCCTGTAGGTAATGGAGTGTCACTGAAAAATTTCAAGCAGGGAATAGAGGATGGGCTGGGAATAGAGTGATGTATGTGACACAATCAGTCCTGTGCTTTATGAAGATTAATCTGACAGTATGTGCAAAATAGATATGATGAAGAGAGAATGAAGGCAGGGGGATAGGCTAGGAGACTATTGCAAACTGCCTAGATAGGAGGTGGTAATGGCTTGAAATAGACTGGTGACAAGGAAGATGAAAAAGGATAGGATGTCAAAGAATGACTGGATTGGAGAAAAAAGAGAAGAATATGTTGATATGCATATTACACATTGATAGAATGCTGTCAGACATCCTCCTCTTCTAAAATGTAATAGTATTGACTAGATAATGGAGGTTGCAGGAAATAATAAGAAAAAGTAAATCTTATATTAAATCTTATGTTGAGGGAGACAAGACATTTGCTCATTTGTAACATCTCTGTAGACACGGCAAAAGACTGGAGACAACAGGAGTTCCAAGTTCAGTTTCAAGTCTGGTAACTGACTAGAAGGCTATTTGCTCAAGGTCCTCAGTTTCCCAATTTGTAAAGAAAAATCAATTCCTACTTCCCCAGGCTACAACCAAAACAACAAAAAAAGAGAGTACTTTGTCAAAAAAAGCACTTTGTCTGCACTCTATTGTCTGTCAAAGAATCAGAGCCCACCCTCCCTTGGACTTTCTTCCTAATCTGCACTAAAAAAAGAACAAAGAGATAATCTAAGTCTGCACCAAACAGCACCAGGGACTCCCTGAGTTCCCTTTTACCTTGAGGTGTCAGTGTGTCAGGTCCAATCCCCTGGAATTTTCCTAGTTCATCAAAACTCTCTCCATGCATTGAAGGCAGTGGACTGGAGAAGCTCCGCTTCACAAAAAGTGCATAATTCTCTACCTGGCTTCCCTTCACATAATCTGTCAGGTGAAAATAGGACATAAGCCCAAGGCCACTAAGAATCCCCCTGAACTCCTTTCTCTTCCATTTTAAGATGTGTCTTAATCCCACTCCTTCAAATGATGCAAAATATTCTGGATACTCTTCTCCCTTTCCAAATTATACTAAAAACTTGGGGTAAATCTCTCCAGATGTGGCAGTCATCTGGAACCTACTATATCCTCACAGTGCCACAATCAAAACCTCCCAGATCTCTGTTCCTTGAACTCTTCAAAGCCCCAAACAAAACAAAACCCACATCTGCCTAATGGGGCTCAACTATCAAGTCCATGCAGGAGGCCATTCTCTTGGGCACCATTCTCTCTGCACCAACATAATGGCACACCTACTACAGCCTACCAATCTTGGCATATGGAAACACAGCTTGGTGTTGTGGAAGAAGCACTAGACTTGGAGTCTAAACCTCAGATACAAAATCTAGACCAGCTACTTAATAACTATATGACAGTGGGCAAGTCATTTAACATCTCTGGGTGTCAGTTTACCTATTTGTAAAATTAAAGAATCAAATCAGATGCTCTCTAAAGTATTTTCAAGCTCTAAATCCTATGATCTCCACTGCTCAGTACATAAAGATAGTCTGTATCTTACTTTCCCTAATTCCAAAGAAAATAACAGCCTTCCTCCTAGTTGCCCAAATTCCTTTATATGGTTAAGTGGGACTCTGTTACCTCTTTTATTTTCCTACTATGAAAAAAACTTAATGTCTTGATTATTTCTTCTCTATGCTATAGACATGGTTTATTTACTGTGATCTTCATTCCACAGCAATTACTATTATGATATTTTTTATAGTTCAGATCAACCTGGTCTTAACTGATAACAGGTCAAGTCTTACTGGCTAATTATGCTATAAAAACATTGTCAGCACAAAACCGTTCTGATAAGCGGGAAGCTTCTAGAAATATTACCTTCTGAACTGATGCCAACTTAAAGCCAGGGTGTCCTCTCTGCACTAAACCTTATCTTCTTCATAAGTTCTAGTGTGCCTGACATTTATATTATTTAAGGAAAAGGCACATGGAGAACAACATGGAGAGAATATTGGTGAGAGCAGTTGTAAGGAAGAAATGAAAATAGAGACAGCAAAGGAAGAAAAGTTCATGAAAGGGGCAAAACTTTAGGATAGTTAGATATTCCTAGCTTCAGAAGATATTAAGGATAAATGATTTATTAACAGGTGATGATGAAGAGGAAGGTAACAATAGAAATATTTACATTTATATAACATTTCTCCCTTTATAAAATACTTTCACACATATTATCTTATCTGATTCACATAACAGCTTTCTCTGAAGAAATCAGAGCAGAATTATCTCCATTTTATGGAGGAAAGAGACTCAGACAAGTTAGGAGACATATTCTACATGTAAGTGGAAGACCTAGGACTTGAACCCAAATCTTCTAATTCCCACTGAGTGTGCTTCCTACTACCCCATGCTCTCCTACAAAGGCACTAAGGGCCCTGCTGCCTGCCTCCACCGGCCAATCAGCCTCTATCTAGATCATCACCTGGTTCTGAGCCTTCTTGGGACTTTTCAACCTTTTCTCCTCGTTGTTCTTCATCTGATGCTGGACAGGACATCTGCCTCTTCATTTTGTTGGCTGTTACACTGGCCAAAGACACCAGAGGGATAGCCTGACTTTCCTGGGGGAAGAAAATAAAAAAGCAAATGAAAAGTACTGATCAAAGAAGAAAGCTACTGCTGTCTCTCAGAAAAGAAGAGCCCCAAATCAGGAGCTACACAAGGAATACTTAGCATTTTGGTAATGAAGCAATGAGATTTTCAAAATGTATCAACTACTAACTGAGAAATACATTGGAATCAAAGCCAAGATGGTGGATAGAAGGAGCATTCTAGCTGAACTCTCCCAATATTCCCCTTAAAACAACTTTAAAATAACACATTGAATCGAATTCTGGAGCAATATAAACAACAAAAGGTTGAGGTGAGGTATTTTTCCAGCCCTGGACAATTAGGAGGTCAGAAGGAGAGGTCTGCGGCATTGGGACGGGGGCCAACAGCAGCAGGGACAACGGTAACAGAGGCGGCAGCAGCAGTACTGGGAGCTGTCACTGCCCTGGTTCTAGACACCTGGTCAGAAAGAGATAACTGGGAACCACTATGAGAGTACTGGGTGCAGGACCGGGTGCTATTTTGCAATTCCATTGCCCATTATCCAGTTTCAGGGTAGAGGGAAGCAGTAGTATGTGTAGTCACAAGAGAGTAGGGTTAGGGTTAGGAACAGAACACAGACCTGAAAAGCAGTGACCATAGCTCTCCCCCAGATCACACCACCTTAGAAGCACTGAGAACTTATAGAACCCTACAACTAGCTGTGAAAACATCAAGGCATAAAAGCCTGAAAATTGGGATGGTGACTTCTGCTCTACTCCCTACCAAGGGTGAGCAGAGCCCAACTCTAACTTGAAGTTCAAAGTCAAGAAATATGCTGAAAAAATGAGCAAACAACAAAAAGGAACCTGACCATTAAAGGTAGTATGGTGACAGGGAAACTCAAAACTCAAACTCAGAAGACAACAAAGTGTCTAAATAAATCATTAGCATTTCCATTTATTATCAACAAAACCCAGGAGGAAGAAATAGAAAGAGAAATTCCATTCAAAAACACTACAGATAGTACAAAATATTTGAGAGTTTACCTGCCAAGACACACACAGGAACTATATGAACACAACTACAAAAACACTTTTCATACGAATAAAAAGAGATGCAAAAAACTAGAGAAATATTAATTGCTGAATCAATGGGTAGGCTGAACCAATATAATAAAAATGACAATTCAACCTAAATTAATTTACTTATTCAATGCCATACCAATAAAACTACCAAAGAATTATTTCATAGAGCTAAAAATAATTCATCTGGAAGAACAAAAGGTCAAGAATATCATGGGAATCCGTGAAAAAAAAATTTTTTTTTGAATGAAGGAAGGTGGCTCATCAGTACCAGATTTCAAACTATGTTACGAAGCAGTAATAATCAAAGCAATCTGGTATTGGATAAGAAATAAAGTGGCTGATGAGTGGAATAGATTAGGCATATAATACATAGAAGTAAAAGACAACAGTAATCTTTTTTTTTTAGTTGTTTCAGTCATGTTCAACTCTCTGTGACCCATTTTGGGTTATCTTGGCAAAGATCCTGGAGTGGTTTGCCATTTCCTTCTCCAGCTCATGTAACAAATGAGGAACTGAGGCCAACAAGGTTAAGTGACTTGCCCAGGGTCACATAGCTAATAAGTATCTATGGCCAGATTTAAACTCAGGTCTTCCTGACTCCAAGGCTGGCAACTTATCCACTGTGCCACCTAGCTTCCCCAAAGTAATCTAGTGTTGGATAAACTCAAAGATCCAAGCTTGTAGGGCAAGAATTCACTATTCAACAAAAAATACAGGGAAAATTAGAAAGCAGTCTGGTAGAAACTAGGCATAGACCAACACCTCATACCATATATCAAGATAAGGACAAAATGGGTATATCATTTAGACTTAAAGGGTGATATCGTAAGCAAATCAGGAAAGCATGGAAAAAATTACTTGTCAGATTGGGGAATGGCTGAACAAGTTGTGTTCAACTTGTGATTGTGAAGGAATACTATTGTGCTATAAGAAATGACAAATGGGATCATTTCAGAAAAACCTGGGAAGACATATGAATTGGTACAAAGTGAATTAAGTAGAAGCAGGAGCACGGTATACAGTAACAATAAATAACTGTGAAAGACTTAACTACTCTGTTCAATATGATGATCTATGCCAATTCCAAAGGATTTATGATGAAAAATGCTATCTTCCTCCACAGAGAGAACTGATGAAGTCTGAGTGCAGATTAAAGCATAATTGTTTTCATTTTCTTTATTTTTTCTTTATTTTATATTTTCACTTTCTTGCTTTTTAAAATTTTTACAACATGGCTAAAATTGTAATATGTTTTTCATGACTTCACATGTATAATAGATGTCATATTGCTTGCCTTCTCAATAGGTGAGAATAAGGGCTAGAGAGATGGAGAGAATTTAAAACTCAAAACAAAAAAGAATGTTAAAATTTTTTTTAATTTTAAAAAAGAAAAATACATTGTATTAAAAATACTGAATCACCTTATATATGCATCAAATTAGCACTCAATAAACAACTTTTTTTTAAAAAACTGGTTATCTGTAGGAAGATACACACCCTAATCTACTACTTGTAGAACTATAAAATCATTCAATTATTTTAAAAAACAATTTAGAATTATGCAAAAAAGTTTTTTAAATTGTTCATTACTTTTAACCTAGAGATCCTACTACTGGAATTATATCCTGAAGATGTTGCTAACAGTCAGAAAAGACCCATATGTACAAAAACACTGAAAGCAGCATTATTTGTGATAACAAAAAAGCTGGAGAAAAAAACGTGCTTAATGATTGAACTACTGAACAAACTGTGGCATATCAGCATAAATGAAGTACTCCAGAGAAGGATGAATACAAAGAATTCACAGAAACATGCAAAGACTTGTATGAAGTTATAGAATGAAACAAAGCAGATCTAAAAGAGTTGATATACACAAGAAGGAAGGTCCCATAGATACCAAAATATTAAAAACAAAACTTTTTGTGGTAGCAAAAAAACAAAAACAAAGTGAAATCCAAATGTCTGGGAAGGGCCGAACAAATTATGGTATATTAAAGAAATGGGATATTATCGCATTGTAAAAAAACAAAACAATACACAAACATAAGGAATTCAGACAAACACAGAAAGATCTAATTACATGAAACAGAACAAAGAAAAAAGAACCAAGGAACAATATATATGGTGACTACAATAATGTAAATAAAAACTATGCTAAAAAGCAGTTCAAGTCTGATTAATTGCAATAACAATCCTGATTCTGGAGAACAAAGGAAAAAACATACAAAGCCTTCCGTCTGGTGAAAGGAGGGAGAATTCAGGCACAGAATGTTGCACCGGGAGTCAGGTATAGTTGCTTTTTTTGGTTTTACTTAACGTTTTCTTTGCTGCTAGAGAGAGCAGATCAGGAAATGATTGTAAAGTTTTCCCAAAAAAGCATCTTTTTTTAAAAAATAATCTGTGTCAAAACAAAATGTATCAATATATTTTATGAAATAAAAGCAAAGCAAAAAAATCTGATTGCTATTGTTAAGCCAACCTAAGGCCCTAAATACTTTAATCTTACTTATCTACAACTCTACCAACTAAGGATACCAGTCATTTACACTTGTCATTATCAGAAACTTTATTATGAGAGATAAGACATAACAGTGGAAGCACAGGGATCCATTTCAGGGTGACAAAAATGGCAGTTGATAATATACAAATATCATTAAACCAAACAATGCTAACATAAACTCACTTTGAGGAGGCATCAGCCAATGGACACTGTAAGAATGATTGATATTTTATCCTTTCCAGTTGTAGTACAAGGGTTAAAAGAGGAGGAAAATACTGACAAAAGAGAAAAAGAGGCTCCTCTGAATCCTCCATATTCATTTCTTACAGTAGAGTAAAATCCTATTGCATTACTGTACCCAGTTTGTCTAGCCATTCCCCAATTGATGGTAGGTATTAATTTAAGCATTTTGTAAAACTTAAAAGGTTATGTAAAGACTAGCTATTATTTTTAAAAATATGACACATTTCAAGAAATACAAGAGAATTTAAGCCCTCAAGTAATCAAAAGGAGTTTTGGAAAACCAATAATTAGCCTTGGGATTCAAAGAGTAAACATAAGCATAATTTATAATTTTCCCAGGTCAAGGCTTTCTTAGATGTGTTTAACAATACCTGAAAAAAATATTAAATTTCCATGGCTTAGAAGTAATTAGATTATTGTTCTGGGGAGTGGGATCTGGTGCAAAAGATGAATTTTTCTACTCACAGGGTTGAAGAGTTCAGTGGTAAGCCCTAGGTAATTGTGTAAAGACAGGAAGGTCACCCTCTGCAGCCGCACCATTATGATCTGACAGGATACAAACAACATGAGGTTCAAAATTCCTCAGGTACCCATACCTGGGATAGATGTGTACATAAAGTCCATGAAGATTTTCCCAAGTGCCCACAATGCCCCTGACTCAGAGTCTCATCTCCTGCCATGCCCCTCTCCTAAACCATTTGTCAATCAAACCTGAGATCATTCCCTATAGTCCTAAGCCCCACCTCCCACTTCCCAATCTATTCCCAGCCCCTCTCATTTATTCCTATAGCCCCAATATTTAGTCTTGCTGAATGGATTTGGGTCCTTTCTTTTCCTGAGAACATTAAAAAAAAAAAAAGTGGATGTTGGTACCACTTTTCAGCAAAGCTGATAATCAGACCTGAAAACACTCTCATGTTCCCTACAGAGGGGAAACCTTGGAATGATGTCAGGAGTAACCTTCCAGTAGCTACGGAGAAGAAAAGAACATAAAATTTACCCACCTGTACTACTCTCACCAAGGTCTCAGGGTATTTTTCAAAGACACCTTGGAAAGCAGCAGCTGGAAGCTTTAAAATAGTGGATGGTATCACTGCCCTGGCAGAGACGGTTTTATATGGAGCTGCATGGCCCTGTAATAGAATGACAGTCCTAGTTAAGACAAGTGAGATGAATAACTGCTGTGCATTCATTAGTAACAGAAAGCCTGTAAGAAGTGATGAGACCTGAATGAGGATGCTAACCACATCGGTGGAGAAAAGCAGATGGGTATAAAGGCTGATTGGCTATGTGGGAGGTTGAGGGTGATTCCAAGGTTGCAAGGTCTGAAAAATGTGATGCCCTCAAGAGAAACAGAGAAGCTGAGGAGAGAGGTAGGTATGGGGGAAAAGATGATAAAGGCTGTTTGTAGACTAGAACAGTGTCATTTTTATCCCTGTATGACCAGCACCAAGCACAGTGCAATGAACACAGCATGTGCTTTATAAAAGCTGGCTGACTGAAGAAAAGCAACTTTCCTTTGGACTGCTCTGGCAACTCATACAACAGAGGCCCTCAAGCAGCACAAGGGGGCTCACCACCACTGGCCAGGCCCAATCCATGGGAGAAGGGGCTACTAGAGGTTAGGAACCCAGGTCTCTAAATATCCACCAGTCCTTTAGTCTAGATTTACTCTAGTCTAGTCAACTTCCTGAACTGTAGGTGATCAGCTCGGCCAAAGAAAAAAATGAGAATTGACATTTGCAAGGTCAAGCTCTTCAGTACACTCTTCCAAACAAAGCATAAGTCATCATGAGACCAGAAATGGCAAACCTAAATGAAGAGACCAGGACCAGAGAAAGCCAAGAGAACTCAGGATTAGGATATTAAGAGAATAAGGTGAGGTCAGGGCCCTAAATGGAGTTTTCAATCAGGCCTTTGTTTCTATTATTTAAATGGGAGTTCCCAAGGAGCAATCAAAAGCCAACCACACAGATTCTACATCTCCTTCTCCCTGACAGCTAGCACCAAAAACCCCAGGCCTAGCACATTACTCAAAGATATTGGCCCAAACAGCTCACCTAAATGAAAGGGGTTCTTTAATAAACAGAACTGGAATATATTTTAATAACATATTCTATTATGCCACATCCAGGGAATTCCAACTAAAACCAGCTGGTTCCCAATTCTCTTGACATTTTTTTCCCCAAACATAGTTAACGATTCATTCCTGTCATAAGACTCTATTCAGAATGCATTGTCAATTGCAAATACTGAAAGCTGAACACTAAGTCCTTATTCAGTGTAAATTCTGATCAAAATAATGAGATTGATAAATGTTTTTCATTAACTTACTGTTAGCTAGGTCTTTTTTTTTTAACTATAAAACCCCTCAGACTGGGAAAATTGTCTTCTAAGATGAAAACTAAAGGATTTCCAATCTATACCTTATAAAAAACAGGAAGCCAGTTCACAGTGGACTCATTAATTACCTGTTGAAAGCCCAAAGGGCTTTGATCATTCCAAAGGACCAAAATTTAATCTAGTTGAGAGCTTTGTCCTCTCCTTGTATAAATCTTATGTGAGCATATAAAGATTCTAGAAACCCTATTCAAAGCATTTGCTCTTTGACAAAAGTGAAACAAAAATGCTCTAGCTTTAAGTGTCTCTGGACTTTCCATGAGTATTCATTCACTGGTTACTGAAAATGGATTTACAAACTAAAATTATAATTCCAGCAAGAGAGTTTAAAATATTAGTTTCTGTGCTTTAAATACCAGATTCCTATCATTTTATTTGGCTGGCTCTAAATAGCCTGAAATACCAATTACTTTCCCCTCTTCACCGCCAAAACAAACATCAAGTTTTTAACACAGATTCAGAGTTAAACACAAAAGCCCCACGCGGTAATGATTAAGAAACAAGATCATTCTATCTAAATCATACTCCTGTTCCTAGAGAGAGAAAAAATAGTGTAATAGAAAAGGGAAGGAGAAGGAAAGAAGATAACATTAACCCCTGAGAAACTCTGATAAAAAATAGCTCACGCACATTTAATTTTCAAATCTACTGATTACTGTGGTTGAAAAAAAATTCCAACCACAACATTAATGTTTTGTGAGACAAGAGACAATATCCTTCAAAATGATCAATTAATCACAACATAGTACATTTTTCCACTCAAATGTCACCCCATAAATTTTCCACTCCCAGTACACTAAGAAAAAGATCTATTCTTGTTGCTGAGCAAGTGGAATCACTGCTGACATTGTGACAAGACTTCATCACAACAGGCTGGGAAGGGAATGAATAGTCCCAGACAGATTGATTACTAAAGCTCAAAGTTAATTTAAGAGCTCGTGTAATAACTGCCACTCCCAGCTCCACAATTCATATAACAGGTCAAGCATCATCCGTTATGTTCTTCGTAATAAATGAGGTTTCATAAAGAAAGACACAATAATGAAGTAAAGATCTACTGCAGAATAAGGAACAACAAAGAATAAACTCCCTTCTTAGCTTACTCATTAAGTTGATTGTTTATGCTAGAGAATTTTTTCCTCTTTGCAAAATATTTTCAAAATAAGGTGTTACCCCTTTTGGACCTGCCTCACTTCCACTTATTTCCCTTTAACTTGTAATTCTCTGTCTTTCTGGTCACAACAAATTAATAAACATTTATTAAGTTCTTACTATGTGCTAGGTATTATAATAATCATGGGGGATACAAAAAGAGGCAAAAGACAGTCCCTACCCTCAAGGAGCTTACAATCTAATGGGGGAGACAACATGCAAACATACGTATGTATATGTGTTATAGGCAAGACTTGAATCCAATTCTACCTGACTCCAAAACCAAACCACTATCCACTATTCTACACTACCTCCAAAGCCTCAACTTACTACCTTGCTTTACTACTGTAAACTTGGTTAGAGTTCTTTGACAAAAGAAATTCTATCTATTGTTCAAACTCAAGTAAAAAATCATGATTGATTTTATGGTATAACTTCTATGCTATCAACGGGTGATCTATTTTTACCTAGTGAGAGGTAAAAATATGTAAGGCATACACAAGATTTTGAAATTCTAAGCAAAGTTCAGATCTGAGTCTCCTCTCTAGAGCGCAGAGCCTGATAAAGACTCCTTGTGAACCATGTCTCCACATATCATGGTTAACTTTAGGGGTAGGATAAATAATATTACTGGGTCAGGGAAACCTAAAGGTAGTCTCAAAAGTTTAAAAACATTTTAAGGAGACTGTAGGGACTAAAACTGTCCAACCTACAATAAGACTGAGGCAGAGTTCTGAGCCCATGGCACTTTATTAAAGGGTCCATGGTGCCCTCTAATGAAGTAGACCTCAGACCTTCCTCACAATCTGAGATGCCCCCTCTTCCAGGGCCTTATTTTCATAGGGTTTCATATCAGATTTGACACCTGAATATTCTAAAGGGGCTATACAAAGTACAGAGTCCAACTGGTTGACAGATTGGGCCAAAAAAATGATGCATTAGCTAGAAATGGCATGTCTGGGGGGGAGGGGTGTTTCAGGTTGGGAAAAGTATGGGGCATCTCCACTACATGATCATAAGATGGTCACTTGCTCATGTTGGATGGACTAGAAAGAATGGTCCGGAGGTACACAGATAGGTTATAAGAAAAACACCAAAGACTACATATATATATGAGCTGCTAGCATTATTTAAAGGGAGCATGGTATAGTGAATAAAGGGTAAGTCTTAGTGTTGTGTGACTTGGGTTTAAACCCCGCCTCTGAAGCATAAAGGCTATTGTATAACCCTTTATAACTCACTTAACTACCCAGAATCCCAAGACAGCCTGTAAGTTGCAGCACAGTTGGCTAAATGACTTGATAGAAGGAGTTTCCTCACCAAGAGCTCCCTACATCAATGCAATCAAGTTAAGATTAAAATATATATATGTGTATGTATGCATGTATGTATATGTGCGTGTTTATATACAGAAGAGAGGCAGGCAATGCGGCACACTGGAGAAAGCCGGCCTCAGAATCATGATGGTCTCAATTCAAGTCCTGCCACTAACACACACTGACTCAGTGACTCAAGATTAAGTTCCTTAACCTCTCAGTGCTCTAGGCAACTCCCTAAGACTGCAAATTGCAGAAAGGATGCCCACTTGCAGTGGCAGAGTGAGTTTCTTCCTCTGGGAGTTCTTTATGCCAATGAAATCACAGGTCTAGTCCCTATTCCTATAATAGTGGAAAACACCAATATGAGAATGCCAATTCAAAGCATAAGTCCTACTAAAGGAGAAACTGAAGTAGTGCCTCTAAAAAGGAAATTAGCACAAGATACACTCAAATATTGATTTACGTAGTTTGTTAATTCCTTAATATACATAAGAATCAGGATCTAATTAGAATACCCCAGCTTAGAGCAACATTATGAATTCTGATATGACATTGAAATTGACCCGTGATTTCTGATTCTGCTCAACTGCATTCTTGCCAAGGCTATCATGGCTTCTGAGAACTACCTTGAAGCTGTTTAAAGGAATTAAGGTGAAAGTTCCCGCAAGGCTCAGCTCAGAATGATGGTAAAGATGTAACCTCTGACAGGAGGTTTAAAAACTCAGTTGTCACTTCAAATGCCAGCTTCACTTAAATGTGCCGACAACATTATCTTCAAAGATAGTGGTGCTCTTCTACTGCTCTGAAAGTAAGGGTTAGTTCTACTATCATATGACTAAGAAGAATGACGACTTACTGAGAAGAGAGTTTTAAAGCCTAGCCATCCTCCAACACAGATGCCCAAGTAGCATCAATAAAATGAAGGCTTCGAGATCAGTATATGGGGACATACAGAACTAGACACTGGGATGACGAGTATTCAGGAGAAAGACTCACGGTGATGACATCCAGGATGCTGAGCAGACTGTGGATACTGTCTCCAGCCAGGACTTCTTTCACTATCACCTCGGTATTGTCCTGCAGACAGAGGGTAGATAGGGTTGAACCTGTCCAATATAGACACCTATTGGAAAACTGACTTTGCGTAAAACTTCTTTATGCCAGGGCTCCCAGCTGGCTTGGCAGACAAAACTTTGGTGCCAACTCACATCTTTTCACTCCAAATCACTATAACAGAACAGTTGGAGACAAGGAGGCACAGCAACCCATGCCTTGGTCAAGGTAACTGTCATCGTAATCACCAAAAAATGGGGCAGCGGTTAGGGCATGCCAGAGTGGACACCCAGCTACAGTGTGCGTTTTTCCTGGCAAGTGACCTAGCCTCTGTTTGTCTCAGTTTCCTCATCTGTAAAATGGGGATAATGATAGAATCTGTCTCCCAGAGTAGTTGTAAGAATCAAAAAAGTTAATAATTGTAAAGCACTTGGCACAGTGCCTGGTACATGGTAAGTACTACATACGTGGTTGCTATGATTAGCCATTATTACTGCAAGCTGGAAAGCGGAGTAAAGCAGGGTCCAGACAAATGTAAATATTCCAAACCTACGGCCCCATCTAAATGGTCAGATCTGATATAAAATAAAAGAAGAAACACAGTATAGTGGAATTTGGAATCAAAAAACCTGGGTGCAAATCCCAGTTCTGCTACTTCTTAGCCATGTGAAATGGGCAGACCTGGCTATAGGGCCTGCTTTAAAGCCATGATCCTGACTCTGCGCTAATTTTTCTGGCTTTAAACATAAAAGACTAAAATCATTTCAGGAAAGAATGAAAAAGAAAACCTTGTTGCTCTGTGTGCTCCACATTCCCACCTTCCAGGAGAAGCTTGTCTGAGCTCAACACTTCCACACTCCCTAGACTCACTCCCACAACACAAGGAAACAATCACTTCAAGTCATTATGGGGAAATCACTATTAAGAACCCAACAGGTTCATATGGAGTCCTTAGAAACTGATTCCAGGGAAATGCAAACAGCAGCACCCAAGCTCCAGTGTCAAAACACTTCTACGGAAGCTCTAACCTGGTATACTTACAATAAACCATACTGGTTTCTTTAGGCTAGAAGGAGGGATCTTCCCTCATTAATGATTACATGCTGGTTCCACATCGGCTGAAGCACATATTATGAGAAGTTTTTTAAGGGATAAATCTGTTCATTCAGGGAAGCACATTCCACACAGAGCACTGCAAAAACTTTATAACAGTCACCTGAAGTCAAAGGATCCATTTCCTTAAATGACATACAGATTATAAGCCCATCAGTTTGCAAACTCATTTAAGGAAGGGGCCATGTTTTATAATAATAATATTATATGTTAGTAACTCAAAAATACACATTTTACAAAAAAATTGAGAGCCTAAGGCATAGAAATAAACTCAAGGTTCAAAACTTTTTTTGGGGGGGGGTGAGGCAGTAGGGGTTAAGTGACTTGCCCAAGGTCACACAGCTAGTAAGTGTTATGTGTCAAGTGTCTGAGGGCAGATTTGAACTCAGGTCCTCCTGACTCCAAGGACAGAACTCTATCCACTGTGCCACCTAGCTGCCCCTGGTTCAAAACTTCTAACTGCATACTCTAGCCTCACCACAAATACTGGGCAATGGACATTCTCACATTTTCCTGAATGCGAACTTCCAGTCTCCCATCCTGAACCACATAAATACTGTTGTCAAGATCTCCAGGACGGAAAATATACTCTCCTTCATGTAACTGCACAAAAACCATGTGTTTACACAGTTCCAGAAACAATGGCTTCTCAAAGTGACCCAGGACCCTGTGAGAAGAAAACAGAGCATATCTTAATGAGGAATCTCTCAGAGTAGGAAAAAGGAAGGAAAAGATGGGTTTTGTAGGGAGAAGGGTTGTATTAAAGGCGGAAAAATAACAAAGCCTGCAGTATTGCAACCAATATTTAGAATCCTTGACAGCATGGATTTTCATGAGGCTGGAAGTCAATAGAGCAGGTACCCAAGCAAAGATCTGAAAAGATAATCTCAAACACTTAAAATGACTAAATAGGCATTCCCATAAATTTTTAATTTCCATAAACTCAAAGCACTAAGAAACCATCACAATAAAGTTTTGGACCAGCCCTATGAAAGGACAGCATTCCACAGATCACAAGCTGGGGCAGAGAAGATGAAAAAAGTGCTTATATTCTAATATCAGGTCAGAGCCTGTCAAAAGTGAAGGCCAGATTTACTGACTTCTGACCCATTTAAACATCCAATTTTACTCTAGACATAATAAGAAAGAATAAAAGTTGTGGATACACAATGAAATATTAAGTATATAAAGAAGGAATAATGAGAAATAAAGCAGATTAATAAACCATGCTTCTGCTAGAAAATAATCCTGCTGCACCCAGCTGAAATTCTATTCATTATAGTAGATTATACTTGAGTACAATAGGGAATGGTGGCTTCAGAAATGATCACATAATTAGGACAAAAGCATGGCAGGACCCAGGGCAGAACTTCTTCTTGAAACACAACTCTCTGTATACAGGAATCAACCACAAACCAGAAGTAGTCCAAACTAGAAAGACAATTTAAAGACCTGATGTCTATGAAATAGATAATAAAATTAAAATAAGAACTAACATTCACATAGCACTTATTATGTGCCAGGCAATATGCTAAGCACTTTATAATTATCATCTCGTTTGATCCTCATAAAAACCCTGGGAAAGTGGTGTTATTACTATCTCCATTTTACAGATGAGGAAACTGAAGTGGACAGAGGTCACGTGAATTGTCTGGGGTCTCATAGCTAGTAGGTGTGTGAGGCTGGATTTGAATTCAGGTGTTCCTGCCCCCAAGTCTGGCACTCTATCCATTGTGCCACCTGGCTGCCTCATTCACTGAGATTACTGACCCCATTTTGTAGAACTGATCATGTTTGTGAAAAAGGCTGTAATCTGTGTCTAGCTGCATTTTGATCTAGGCTTAAGATTCTATACAAACATCTGAGCCTTTTGGTAATAATAATGATTATTATTAGTAATAAAATAATAATAACGATAGCATTTACATAATGCTTTAAAGTTTACAAAGTGCTTTACAAAATATAATTTCATTTTTGGTCTATTGCAAAAGACCAAAAAAGGCCCATTTCTTTCCCCAGGTATCAAACATCTCTGCTAACAGAGTATGTTTTCTAATAGTTTACTAAGAAAATAACATAGAATTGGCAAAGAAACCGAGACAATAGCTTCAGTAAAGTAGAAGGACACACACAAAAAATCTATAGCATTTATACATAATAATTATAAAATACAGGAGGAAATAACAGAGAGGAAATCACATTCAAAATATCTACAATAACTACAACCTCCTTTGAGGTTCACTCATCCATGTTTATTACTCTGTCCAAATTCTTATTTGTAATAATCATAAAATAACATCAAGCCAATCTACCAAGGCACACTAGAGATACAACCATAAAACACTGTTAAAAGAAATAAAGAATGGTTAATAACTGGACAGATATTCATTGCTTACGGTTGGGCCATGCCAATATATTAAAAATGATAATACCACTTAAATTAATTTATGGATTTAGCATATGCCAATCAAACTACTCAGATAATACTTCATAGAACTGAACAAAAGAAAAATAAAATTCATTTAAAAGAACAAAAGCTTTAGACTGTCAAGGCAAATAATTGCCTAAAATTCTCCACTGGTGGCAAAAGAAGGCTATGGGTATGCCAGATATGCAGGGTATGCATATTCTGTCATACACAGTTGATACATCTTTGGCTGATTTGGCTAGACTACTCTTTTTCCCCTCACTTTTTTAGGCTTTATTACAGAGAATGGGTCACTGAATAGAGAAGGGAGATCCCCCTTCTCTATTCAGTGACCCATTCTCTGTAATAAAGCCTAAAAAAGTGAGGGGAAAAAGAGCAGTGTGTGTGTGTGTGTGTGTGTGTGTGTGTGTGTGTATATATATATTTTTTTTTTTGCTTTTTGGTGAGGCAATCAGGGTTAAGTGACTTGCCCGGGGTCACATGTGTGAGGTCACATTTGAACTTAGGTCCTCCTGATTCCAAGGCCAGAGCTCTATCCACTGCACCACCTAGCTGCCCCTGAAAGATACATTTTAAAATGAAGGTGATATAAAACACACACATATCTTCACAGGACCCCAAACTAATCTTTGTATTTGCTCACTTAAAGGTTATGAATAATCTAACTGCCAATTCCAATAGCCTTTTTTCAGTCCTCATACTTTCTGATCTTTGCAACCTGACAACGTTGACCATTCCTGCTACTGAATAAAAATACACCTTCCTTATAAATACAAATATATATATGTGTGTGTATATATGTATATATATGTATGTATACACACACACACACACACACACACCCCTCTCTTGGCTTGTAAGACAATACACACTCCTGATTCTCTTTCTGCCTTCCTAATTCTATTCCCCCTCTATCCTCTTTACTGGTCTCATGACACCTCGGGATGAGGCTCCCAAAGGTTCAGAGTATGATTTTAGGACAACACTCTGGACTAAAAAACTACCTTATTCTTCCCCTTCTACCCAAGTCTTATAACTATAAGAACTTAGCTATCTGGAAGTCAGAAGTAGTGAGGGTGCTCCCTCGATTCTTTGCTCAGTCATTATAGGACCCTAAAGATCAGGCAGACTTTCTTTCATACCTGACAAGGCCTTGAGCAAGGAAGAAGGCGAGGTCTATACCCTGCTCCTAACTTACTTCTAGACTATCCATTTGAAATCATTACTTACCAACCTTTCCTCCTCTGAGGTTCACTCTATCCATGTTTATCAACTCTGTCCAAATCCTTGTTTGCAGTAATTTTCCAGCCCCTAGATCATTCTTCCTCTTTTCTCAGAGTTTAGTAGCTGAATTTCTTTCCATCCCAATCCCATACCTTGTACTTAGGAACTTAAATATACAATCTGATGACCTCCTCAAACACTCTGGTCTCTTAGCTCACCAATCTTCTAAATTCTTATGACCTTCATTCTTCACACCATCTCAGCCACACAAAGAATGGTCATAGCCTTCATCTCATCATCATACACAACTGATCTACCTCCAAGATCCAGAAATCTTATATTCCCTCTACAACTACAGCCTCCTTTCCTTCTGACTTGGCAACATTTGACAATGTTGGCCACTCTTGGCTACTAGATAAATATATACCTCCCTTGGCTTCTAAGACAATATACATTGTCCTAGCTTTCCACCCCTCTACCTCATAGTTCCTACTCAACTATGTCCTAATGGATATCTCTAGTATAATGGAAAGGGCCCTAGATTTGGAGTCAGAGGTACAAATACAAGCTTTGCCACTTACGACTTGTGGGACCTTGAGCAAATCATTTAACATCTCTGGGCATCAGTTTTCTTGCTTGTAAAATGAAAAAGTTAGACTAGATGATGTTGATCTTCAAGGTCCCATGCAGGTCTAATTCTCTGACTCCCTGCTCTCTTGTCCTATCACTACTCTAGCCCTGCCAAATCCAAGCCTTCTCTGCTCCTACACATCTTTCTAAAAACTCTTGGAGAAAGTCATGCCAGTCAGTCCCATTAGGCCATCAGGACTACATACTGATCTTTTTATTCATCCCTGACTGACAATAACACTTCTCACAGAAGCTATTCCAAAGTCTTCTTCTCTCTCATCAACTTCCTCCATTGTCTATTCCCTCTTCCGTCTCAGCAGAGAACTTCACCTTCTACTTTACTAAAAAAAAAAAAAGTCATTGCAAGCTCCCTCTTTCCTTTATTCTATACCTCAAAACTTCTCTTCATCATCCTGCATTCTTTCCTACTCTAGCTCTTCTTACCAAGCCAGTCCCTCCATTTGTGTCCTTAATCTTACTCCTCCCTTTCCCCCATCCTACCATCTCCAAAGCTTGCTGTTTTGATCATCTCCTTTCTCCTTCTGATTTCACTGTTTTTATCAGTGGCACCATCTAGTCTCCCACATCTAAAACCTTGGGGTGTCTTTTTTCTTTCCTCTCTCATGCTATTTATATATCCTTCAGTTACCAAATCCTATCAATTCTACCTCCACAACATCTGTCTAATCTGCCCCCTACTCTCTATTTCCATTGGCACCACTCTATTATAGACCCTCTTTACCACCCACCAAGAATACTGCAATGGTCTCCAAACCATATCTCAGACTACTGTCAGAACAATGTTCCTTAGACATCGAGCTGGCCATGTCATTCTAATTATCCAATATTATCAATGACTCACTACTGCTTACTGAGTAAAGGTCAAATTCCTCTGCCTGGATATCAAGGATCTCGACAAACTGGCACCTCCTTACCTTTTCAGACTCATATCTCATACTATTCCTTGCCACATACTTCATTCTCTGGCCAAACTGGAGTGCTTTATTTCCCCTAAATAAATCCTACTCACTTTCCCTTGGTCATACTATATTTCCTA